CCTATCATTGGGTGCCACTGAGAAGAGCTTGGCTCCATCCTCATGGCAGTCACTCTTTACACATTTATAAACACGAATGAGGTCCCCCCTCAGCCTCCTCTTCTCCAAGCTAAAGAGACCCAGCTCCTCCTGGCAGCTCCAGTGAGCTGAGGAGCAGAAATGCTGCAAGATGGGGATTAGGAGGTGCCCATGGGCAGGGAGCTCCTTCCTGGGCCTGAGGCAGGAGCTCATTCACCCACAGGCGAGTTTCCCCCCAATTTCTCCATTCCAACCGCAAAAGCCAGGTCGGCTTCTGAGTCTCGATGTGCTGTCAGTCTCATCCCGAGGGAAGCATGGCCCTTCTGCCTCTGCCAGAGCTACAGACAACATCAGCATCCTCTTGCTACACATGGAGAGGGAGTTTTGGTTCCAAGGAGGGAGATTTCCCTGCCCCAGTCCACCAGCCCGACCGCTCGCAGAAAAGAAAGAACAGCACGAAGCACAGACGGAATTCATTTTTATTTTTTTTTGTAAACTCGAAGCGTTCTGTTGCCAGCTCCTGGTCTGTACCTACTGTCCCCGGGAGCAAGACTGAACCCTGTGGATAGCTGAGCCAAACCCTGGCTGATTTTCAGCACCCAACGGAGGATGCTGGGCACAGGAACGAGCCGTTCCAGGCACAGCCTGCACTTTCTCCACCCTGAGGTTCCTACAACAGTTGTTAGGAAGCAATAGCTGCGACATCAAGCTGAAAACAACCCTGAGTTCCTTCCCTGGCAGCTGTGGTTTCCCATCCCTGTTTCCCCCTTTGGTCCCAATAAAGAGCCAAAGGAGGTTTCCCAGGACAGGAACTGGGCTTTCAGATCAGGAGGGCAGGGCTGGGAGACACCCTGCCAGATGAAGGTCCTGTGGGGCTCTTGGCTGATGCCGAACTGGCCTCGCTGGAGAGCTGCTGCCGGAGCTCCTGGGCCAGCACAGAGCCCAGCTGGGAAAGCTTCAGGGGCTGAAAGGGAAAATTCAAGCTTAATGCTGCCTTAAAACTTCACCTTGAAACAAGAAAATTAAAGTTGTTTAGCTCTCCCAAGCAGCCCTGCTGGCAGCGGGGCAGACCGACTCATGCTGATGCCCAGTGGCAAGTGCTTCCCTTTCCATGACCAAGAGTTAAAATTCCAAGTGGGTTACTCACCCATCGCAAGCACTCCTGAGCATGGAAAAATAAATTCACTACAAAGAATTCAGAACTGGAGTTTTTTAAGCCCGTGCCTGTCTTGTGCAGCTTTGGAGTAACCGCAGTGCCACTTGCTCTGCTAAACAAAACGGGTTGGAGGAGTTGGGGTTTAAGATGGTTGATGTACATCTAGAAATAACGAGGTTACACCTCCCCACCGCCTGAGGTTTTATGTCTGAGGCCTCTTGCTGCAACACCAAAAACTGCCCCAAGACCCGAGTGAAGTAAATTTGAATACTCTTTGATCTCTTCCCAAGACTTACTATTAAAAAGGCAGTTAAAAAGAAATATTCTGCTCTCCCTCCTCCTGAAGAAACTGAACAGAAAGTTTAGGTTTGAGGACATGAGCTCCAGGGTGGTGGCTTTGAGGACCGCAGGCAGATGCGCAGGCTCTACCGCCTCCGTGCACCCCAGGGATGTTTGGGAAGTTCATGATGAAGGGGTGAAACATCTCCCGCATAAAGTGGCCCTTGGGCACCTAAAATGCTTGGCCAAAGCAGGAGGAATTCAAGTTGGTGCATTGGTGTGTAATGCCAAGAAGGAGCAGCTTTTTTTTTTTTTTTTTCTTCCCTCTAAAGAATAATCAGAAGTTCTGGCTAAAGACTCAGCAGTACCTCGTCGAATCTACCCCGCTGTGGAGGCCCAAGAGGGGGTCGGTCCCCTTCAATAGCTGCACGGGGAGCAGAGCCCGACCCGCTGCCAGGCTGCAGGAATCAGCTGCCGGCAGCGTTCCCAGCGGCGTTTGTAAGTACACACCTTTGAAGCCAGATGGCATTAAAATGCCTTTTGCTGTTAACTGCTGCCAGTCTCCTTCATCCCAGGGCAGATGTCCTGCACATGGATTGGGGCAATCCCAAGCACAAGGACAGGCTGGGCGAACAAGGGATTGAGAGCAGCCCTGAGGAAAAGGACTTGGGGGTGCTGGTGGATGAGAAGCTCAACATGAGCCGGCACCGTGTGCTGGCAGCCCAGAAAGCCAACCGTGTCCTGGGCTGCATCCAGAGCAGCGTGGGCAGCAGGGCAAGGGAGGTGATTCTGCCCCTCTGCTCTGCTCTCCTGAGAGCCCACCTGGAATACTGTGTTCAGCTCTGGAGTCCCCAACACAAGAAGGACATGGAGCTGCTGGAGCAGGTCCAGAGGAGGCCACAAAGATGATCCGAGGGCTGGAGCACCTCTGCTCTGGAGACAGGCTGAGAGGGTTGGGGCTGTTCAGCCTGGAGAAGGCTCTGGGGAGACCTTCCAGCAGCCTTCCAGTACCTAACGGGGCTACAAGAAAGCTGGGACAGACTTTTTAGCAGGGCCTGTGTCCATAGGACAAGGGGTAATGGTTTTAAATTAAAAGAGGGGAGATTCAGACTAGATGAAGTTTTACTGTAAGGGTGGTGAAACACTGGGACAGGTCGCCCAGAGAGGTGGCAGATGCCCCATCACTGGCAACATCCAAGGCCAGGTTGTACAGAGCTCTGAGCAACCCCATCTAGTGGAAGATGTCCCTGCCCATGGCAGAGGGGTTGGTCTAGATGACCTTTAACGGTTCCTTCCAACCCAAACCCTTCTGTCCTCCCTGCTGCTGGCTGATGGTCACGAATGGGAGTGCAGGGAGTTTATCCTGCAGCTGCACTGACACAACTCAGGAACCGAGCTCCTGAGCACCGCACCAAGCTGTGGCTGTGCCCTCTGGAAGACCACAAGCTGCTTTTTAAAAGGCAGCGTGTAAAGCCAGCAATTAATGGAAAACAAGATTCTTTGCACGTGAAGTCACACGGCCACGCCAAGGTCAGGGCTGTGGTGTATTAAGCACTGGGAAACCCCTCTTGGCCAGTGGGTAGGTGGGAGGGAGGTCAACCAGCCCCAGCCTCCATCAGCTGCTCCAAGTGACAACCATGAAGACAGCAGAACATTCGAGTTAATGGAAACAAGTCTTTATTAAGTAACTTTTAATATCAGAAAAATAAACCTCTTATAATTCTCTTTACAGCAAATATATAATATCAGTGCTTTGGCCATCATAAGTTAAAGGCCCTTTATCATAAAATATATGGTTTTTAAACTTTACTGAAATTGAATTCATAATCCCTATGACCTCCCTACATATACATAACAAAAAGTGTAGTAAAATTAGCAAATACTAAACTATATCGATAGTTTTTATCGTTCTTAGTTTGCAGTTTATAGAAATGGTACACGCACCTAACGTCTGTCGACTCCTTGGCTTAGAAAATACAAAATACATGCTCGGTGAACGCTCGCTCGTCCCTACAAGACTGCAGCTAGAGATTAGGTTTCAACACTGACACGTAACTATCCTACAAGCAATTATAGCATTGAAGTTTTGCAGTACATAATATGCCATCAAGGCAACTCTTATACTGAAAAATCATAAAATAAAAAAATGTTATCTGTAAACTTTTATACGAAATGTAACTCTTCAAGTGGAAATAAAAAATAAATTTTTCTGTATATTTACCTGTTCAGTACACATATAATTTCTTTTTTTTTTTTATACTGAGAAAAAAAGCTTTGTGTCTTCTCTTGGGAAAATAATGCTTCAAAAACAAGGAAAATTAGAAAAAACCCATCAGAAATCCACTTTGTGTCTTTTGTTTTTGTTGTTGTAATACATGCCAGCACAGATTTGGGAGCGTACTAAGGATGAAAAAGCTAGAAATATCCACAGGTTGAAATGTAAGAAGCACATTCAGAAGACTTTTCTCCTTATGATTGGAAAGACACTTTTGAAATGAAGTAAACTGATTGCAGGGCCACTGTAACAGCTGCTGTCATGAATAATACAAGGGCACATACACAACTCCCCCTTTTTCCTTTTCCTTACTAAAAATAAATACATATTTATATATGTGCAAGACAAATACGGATTGAACATAATGCTTCACATTTTGAACTTTATACTCTTGAAAAGTGTAATTTAAGAACAGCTTGATCGGACTAACGAACGGAATGTCAGCATCCTCGCTGTTAGTTGAAGTATGTGCATCCCAAAGCCCTTACTGAAACGGGATTAAGTCAGCCAGGCTTTTCCACGTTACGTTAGGAAAAGCAGTGGGTAGGAATTCACAAATCGAGATGTACCTGATCCTCCGAACATACTGCCCTCAACTCATCAGGCAAAACAGAGGCGGTGTCGGGCAGCTTCTCTCCGCCCTCCCACCACTTAACCCTGCCACTGATGGCAATCTATTTCAATAAATCAAACTACGCTTAAAAAAACAAAAACAAAAAGGTATTTGCAATGCTGAAGAATTACGTGTAAGCTGTCGCATGAAGCAAAAAATTTCCCCAAACCTGTTTTTCAAAACTGGCAGTGTAAAGAAGGCAGCATTGGAAGTGTTGTTTGATATATTGATAATGTCACAAACCCTCCGTGGCAGACAAGTACTTCTGCTTTTAGGCAACGAGGTTCATTGCTGCCAGCACACAGAAGTCAAGCACTTACTAGAGATCCTTTAGAAAGTCTCTAAAATTTATTTTTTTTTTTAAATTTTTATTTTTCAGTTGTGTGATTGATGAAAACTTCTCCTCGTACTGTGCCATAACATCACACCAGATGGATCTCTGCCAAACATGTCGTTTGCTTACACTGAACCAGAGACCACCTAGGCTTAGTGTTACTGTAGCAGCCTTCTGAGAAAGTAGAAATTCATCAACAATTTATTCGTCCTAATCCCAAGAAAGCCCAACAGTCAGAAGTCATTAGGAAGTTTTCTAGGGGGTACCATTACACCCTTCCTTCAAGAGTTTTGTGAAGTCTGTATATAATAATAGCTATCTATATCTAAGAGTGAATTTGGATTGCCTGAGTAACAGCTGTCTGGCAAACGGGACACGACGGCGTTTCCTTTTCACAGATTTTGTTGGCACACTTCATGCAGAAGAGGTTGTGGCCGCAGGGGACCAGGGCCGCGATGACTTCTCTCTCGAAGCAGATGACGCAGTCGTGCTTCTGTCTCGACTCGGGGGGGGAGCTGGAGGTGGAACCGCCGTTGGAAGAAGAATAGCTGTTGGTACCGTTGGAGAAAGCGGGGATGTATATGGGAAGGCCGGCTTGGTGGCCGGTGCTAGGTGGGTCGCTCCTCACTCTCCTAGCGAGCGGGTGATCCAGGCTTTCTGGAAACGTGGGTGACAGGCGAGGCGTGGATGGCTGGCTCCCTCGGTGGTGAGGCTTGGCGTTACTCAAGGTAGGGTCGCTACCAAAGCCGGAGAGCGGGTTTACGGGTTCAAAAGGGGTCCATATGGTTTGAGAAGGCGTTGGTAGGGAGTCATACGCATGAGAGTCAACCGCGAGGTCTTCCGTGCCCACCGAAGGCAGCGTTTCTCCAAACCAGAAGTTGCCTGTGCTGAACGGACTCGTCGGGCTGAAGTCAGCCAACCTATTGCTTCCAAAATAGGAATCCGTAGAGCCACTTCCCAAGGAGCTGGAGCTGTCGTTTCTATAATTAGAAATCATTCTGGTGCGGCTAGGAGGGACAGGATTAGAAGCAAGCCACACAGAGCCGAGCGCGCCTCCTTCGAAGCTGACATCCGTGCCGTTGTAATGGAAGTCGTTCTCCTCGTTCAGCTCGACGTAGTTCCCGGTACGCATGGCTATATGCATCTCGATCTCCTCGCGCGCGCGGTCGACGTTTTCGGGCATTCCGGTGACTTCGAAGACGGGCTCCTTGTCTCTGCTAGGAGTGACGATGTAGGTGTGGGTCTGCTGCTGGATCCTTTTGATGGTGGCTCCTTTCGGTCCGACCACCAGCCCGACCACGCGGTAAGGCACCCTGACTTGCACTGTCATCTGGCCAGGCAGGTTCGGGCTACACGGCAAACCTCCCAGGGCAGGACCGTTCTTGTTGCGCGACGCTCGGATCATGGAGAAGTGTTCAGCAGCTGAGAGAATTTCCCTTTTGGCCATGGCTACGTCCTCTTTTCGCCCAGTGACGACGAAGACGGGTTCTTCTCCACGAACGGGGGTCTTAATGTAAGTGTTGGTCTTGGCCCTCAGTGCTTTGATTTTGCAACCTGTGTAGAGGAAACACAAGCAAGTTTAGCACGATGCCCAAGTTCAGAAAGCCACAAGAAAGCCACCTATTTGAAGCTGTCAGAGCTCCAAGGGACCGCAGGATGAAACCAAAAGCAGCTGTTTTTAACTCTGCGAGCCTTGCTAAAGAAAGTGGTAACAATTTCTACCTATTATTTCCAGACAGACCTCCGACACACACAGCCACAAACTATTTCAGCGATGTTTCCTGGGCTGTTTTAGCCCATCATCTCCTCAGTTGCTATTAGACGGTGAACAAACGCGGATGGCTTTTTCTCTATGACAGATGTATTCATGGTTATCCTGGAAATACTGGTGCATTTGTATTTTTCTCATTGATTGGGAAACCTTCAGTTATTTCGAAGATCCTGCGAAAGGAGTAGAGGCTCACACCTACATACACTGAGGTCTGCTGAAGCACTAGCCTTTCACTGACAAGCATGACCTAAAAGCAAATTAAACATTTAAAAGTGAGAGAAGGGTCTGTATCACCACCTGCGTAGGATATAGATAAGATTATTGATTTACTGAGAACTCTTCATTTGCTTCCTGTTATTGATAAGTGTTATTTAAACCTTACTCCTCCTTGGTGGGGGGGGGGAAGGAGCCACTCCTCGAACTGTCAAGTAGGAGTTCAAGCAGTTTGTTGCATGGAAACAAGGCTTACCACGCAGTATTACGTACCTACGTGGAATTTCTCTTTAACTTGGTAAATACAGCTTGGAAGAGAAGCGAAAAGTTAATGAAATGTTTGCCTTTTGAGTTTTGGAGACTGAATTATAAAATTTGCTGGGACACAGTGGCAGCAGGCTCTTTCCTAAGGGCGCATCAGGCGTTTTGGCACGGTGCCTGGAGAACCACCTTGCACCCATCACAGGACCAGAAAAGCAGGCAGTGCAAAATCAAGGGAGACAAGCGGGTCCAGGACATGCAAGACAGTCTACTGGATTCAGTCACAACTGAATTTAGCCTGTATTAAAGCAAATTCAAAAGTATGTCACGCTAAATGTCATTTTGCAGCAAGCCTCATCTTGAAACAACTATAAGCAATGTTTGCAGATGAACAGTTTTAAGCATCATTTCAATTGCAGAGTGAAATTTGCTCTCGTGTTCCTCATTTACTTTAAATTTAATCTTGTAGAGGCCTGGGTACAGGGAACAGTCTCTCAAAATAGTGTTTTGTTGGTCCCTTGCACCCAAGGTACCACTAGCGATAACAATTTTGCAGTTCAAAAGCCTCTCAAAGATGCACTCTGTTCAAGACTATCTGCAAATAAATAAAAAAAAAAAAAAAGCAAATATGCAGATGCTGGTGTGAACAGAGGGAAGGAAGAGCCACTTCGTGCAGGGCCCCTGCACACAGCAAGGACAAAGGCTGAACACAACAGCTCTTTGTTTTTCCAGGGCACAGCTGGAGAGGAAGTTCATTATCTTCAACAGCTCGTCAGGAGGGCTCTCGGAGGCTCGACCTCCACCAGAACACACACGGAGGAGCACGGGAGGGCTCTCGGCAAGGGATGGCGTGACGCACGGACAGGTCTGCGCAAAGGAGGGGGATGCAGACCCGAAAGCCAAACAAGTAGTTCAGCAAGAGGAGCATGGATTTGCAGGAGAGAACAAACCCATAAGCCTCAACCTCCCACTACGGCCCGCTGAGAAGGGCACTAGTGCTCTTCTAGATAAAAAAAGGGAAAACACAGGCATGGGATGCCTTATGGAAGTAGCAAAGCACACATCCTTTAAAGCCATGCCACTTATAGAATCACAGAATGGTTAGAGTTGGAAGGGACCTCAAAGATCATCCAGTTCCAACCCCCCTGCCACGGGCAGGGGCACCCCCCCCCACACCCGGGGGCCCCAACACCCGGCCTTGAACACTGCCCGGGGAGGGGCCAGCCACAGCTTCTCTGGGAAACCTGTTCCAGTGCCTCACCACCCTCAGAGTGAAAAATTTCTTCCTTAGATCCAATCTAAATCTGACCTTTTTCAGTTCAAAGCCATTGCCCCTTGTCCTGTCACTACACGCCCTTGTCAAAAGCCCCTCTCCAGCTTTCCTGTAGCCCCTTTAGGTACTGGAAGGCTGCAATAAGGTCACCCCAGAGCCTTCTCTTCTCCAGGCTGAACAGCCCCAATATATTTCCCTGGTCACAGCAGACAGTGGCACCTCACCTGGGCAATTCGCCTTTACTCCCTGTCTCTGTTTGCGTTTCGCCCTCTAAGTACACGCGCTCGCCTGCTCTGCCTCCCATGCCTTCACAGTTACTCGGAAAACACGGTGGGCCCAAACCTTAAACTCACAAAGTGACGTCACAAAATGACGCTGAAGTTTCCACACCCATCAAGCCCTCTTTACGGGAACACCTGAAACCAGAGTCAGCCTCCTGATGCGCATCAATTAAGTAATTCGCGTAAATTGGAGAATACATTGACTCAGTTCCACCTAAATATATATTCTAAGTTCCTAGAAATCAGAGGCAGCATTTAAGCTAATACTAGAGCATCTAGTGTAAGATTTATATATAGAAATATATAGAACTCATGATTATATACCACAATTTGGAGCCTACTTAATTTTAGTTTCCCAAGTGCCTTACCAATTATAGAATCACAGAGTGGTTTGGGTTGGAAGGGACCTCAAAGATCATCCAGTTCCAACCCCCCTGCCATGGGCAGGGACACCCTCCACTACACCAGGTTGCCCAAAGCCTCATCCAACCTGGCCGTGAACACTTCCAGGGATGGGGCAGCCACAACTTCTCTGGGAAACCTGGTCCAGTGCCTCACCACCCCCTGAGTGAAGAATTTCTTCCTTATATCCAGTCTAAATCTCCCCTCTTTCAGTTTAAATCCATTGCCCCTTGTCCTATCACTCCACACCCTTGTCAAAAGTCCCTCTCCAGCTTTCCTGTATCTCCTTTAAGTACTGGAAGGCTGCAATAAGATCACCCCGGAGCCTTCTCTTCTCCAGGCTGAACAGCCCCAACTCTCTCAGCCTGTCTCCATAGCAGAGGTGCTCCAGCCCTCGGATCATCTTCGTGGCTTCCTCTGTACTCGCTCCAGCAGCTCCATGTCCTTCTTGTGTTGGGGACCCCAGAGCTGAATGCAGTATTCCAGGTGGGGTCTCAATTCTTACAGTTTACATTTTAGACAGGACTTTCCTGATGTTTTAGAAACTCAGACCAAGTTACAAGTCTGCAGCTTCAGCTTCCTCCCCCATTTCAGCTGCAGACTTCCAGAGATTGCTATGCCAGAGCCACACTTCCAAACCACTCTTGTGTGAAGAATAGCCTTGTCCTGTTTCTTCCTCAGGCTGCAGAATGGCATGGACCAAGGTGGGCAGAGCTTTTAAGATGAGTCCCATACCTAGAAAGCAGAGGCCAAACGCTGCCTCAGCTCCCTGCAGCCACAGAATAAGACTTCTAAACATCAGAAAGCTGGCTTCAACAGAACACTGGCTCCACAGACCGCCAAGGTCAGCTTCATCTGAATCAACAAGGTCTCAAACTTCATCTGAAACGTCAGAAAGAAGTGAAGAGAGCTGCCACATACGAAACCAAACATTTCCGAATGAGTCGATACCTGCTGGGTTTTGTTTGCAAGGAGTGCTGGAAAACCCCACACCTGACAGTCACACCACAACACAAGGTCAGTAGCCCATTGTGCCACTCCAGGAGGATGATCATTCTATTTGCTTTTACTCAGCTGCTCTGGTTTCCCACCCTCCTCCCATTAGTCACTACCGAGGTGATGATATGAAGCATGGCCGGTCCCATCCCCTCTCTGACAATTCCCAGCATCCAGAGGCACTGCGGCCACGATGACATAAGGTCGGCCAGCTATGAAGTCATGTGGCCACGGGATGAATCAAGAAGTTTCCCAATCTGCTGAGCTCAGGCACAGAAAGACAAAGGAAAACAAAAAATACACTGCCTCACACTTCTGCAACAAATCATCGGATCGTTGTACCCAGGATTTTGAAGTACGGAGATAAAGAAGCCTGAAGAGGGGAATTCTAGGCTGGAAATCCAATTTAATCAAAACTGTCAAAGTAGTTTTAGTTT